CTGTCACTGGCTTGGCCCCCGTCCTGTCCCTGTCACTGGCTTGGTTCCCGTCCCTGTTCTATCCCGCCCGTCACTGGCTCGGTCCCCGTCCTGTCCCGTCCCGCCCCCGAGCGCACCCCCACCCTGGCCCGGGCCCAAGTGTCAAACGTCAACGAAGCTCAAGTTAAACGTCAATTAAAAACTCCCGCCTAGCAAGGGGGCCACCCTGTCACCCGCGTGGTCACGGGGTCGGGGGGCATCAAGGAGTACGGGGAGGAGCCGACAGGCCTCGGGACCGCCCAGGGGAAGCCGCAAGAGCCCAGGGCTTCCCGAGATTCGGCCACGCGCGGGGTTAGGAAATCCCCAGGGCCTGCCGGGGGTCAAGGGTCGGAGGTCAGGGCACCACGTGTCCCGCGTATCTGTAGCAGGGTGAGGGTGCGCCCTGCGGGAGAAACGGGACGCGCGTCTCGGTGCGAACGTGCTTCAAGTGTAGGCCCCCGGCTCTACAGATCCCTGACCACCCGTCCGTCCGCCCGCAAGGCGGCGTGACCTTCACAAGGTCAGGGCAGCCGCCGAGGCGCCCCCTAGGCCCGCACGACGCATGGGCGGGGCCAGGATCCCAGCATGCCTTGAGGCGAGCGCCTGGACAGGACGTCGCCGGAGACTCAGCCAATGAGCACGTCGAGCGGAGGCCAAGGGCGGGGTTCGCGTGGCTCCCGGCATCCCTCGAGGACGCAGTGCGCGGGCACGGGCGGGGCTACGCGAGCAGTTCGGCCAATGGGCGCTACACGTGGGGGCGCGGGGCGTGGAAGTGGGCGTGGCGTGGACGCCTTAGCGGCTGCGCCGTAGCCACCCCGTCCTTTCGGTCCTAGCGGCGGCAGTGCTGAGCCAGCGGTGCCCTTCCTTCTGTCCTCCGCGCCCGCTCTCCGGCTGTTCGCCCGCGCCGCCACCATGACGGAACAGGCCATCTCCTTCGCCAAGGACTTCCTGGCCGGGGGCATCGCGGCCGCCATCTCCAAGACGGCCGTGGCCCCGATCGAGCGGGTCAAGCTGCTGCTGCAGGTGGGTGCGCGGTCTCGGCCATCCTGGGGACCAGGTGGCTGGGCCGGAGGGGAGCCGGTTTGGGCAGGTCGGCCGGGCCAGGTGCACCGGGACCGGCTGGCGGGAGGGCGCCGGAAGTAGGAGGCCGCGGCCGCTTTGTCCGCCAAGCGTCGGTTTCCGGGGACGCGTCGCGTGGGTAGGTCCGCATGCGCAGGGGCGCACTCACGCGTGCGCACGAGCTTTTCGCGCCCTGCAAGGACATCGCGCGTGCGCCGTGGGCCGGGCGCGCGGGGAGAAGGTTGTCGCCCTAGCCGGAAGGCGCATGCGCGAGGGCTGGGTGTCTGGACAGATTCTGCAACGAGTGGACAGTGACTTGGAGTGGTGGTCAGGGGCTGAGACCACCTGGCTCAGGCCACTTCCTGGCTAGTTCCCACTTTTGCGCGCGCCCCACGTGTAATAACAATTCTCTGGGGGCAGCGATCCCTTCCTTCGGGTGTCCTGCGCTGACCCGTTAAGCTGAAACGGAGATTTTTTTTGTTGTATTCTATCCCATTTGGGGCAGTTCTGTGCCAAAACGGGCCTTGGTACCCTTTGTGAGGATGTTGCTAGATGTGGCAATGCCGACTGCCTACAGTATTGCCTGGATGCCGCAGGCAGCGTTACGACCTAGCAGGTGG